CTTACAAGCTTTCTTCGTGACTCGATAACTGGAATTGGACCCGATTTAGCATACTTTTGCGTCCGAATATATTACACAGGAGACTGCCAGGCAATATACCTATATTACTGTCAGTAAATATCATAGGCGAGAGGGAGAGGTATATACTAGTAGGGCTACTTAAATACTTACCCATAGTGCCTCCATAATTCTTGTCGCAGATCATGGAGATGATCACGGAAGATTCCCAGAATCAAGAAAATATAGTAAGCAACACAAATAAAGGCAATGTAAGAAATCACAATTAGGTACCATATTTCGTGGGTAATATTGTAAGATAGATTTTGTTTAAAGTTAGTATTATAAATACTGCTGTAGTTTATTTCGAAAGCGACTATTCTATAAATTTATGCTCAGGCTTGCGCTGAAATTAATCTAACTATTGGACAGTTCTTTTAATACTTACTATAAGTAAACTACTCGGTGGCTCTCCATCATAGCAGGTGTAATGCATGGCTGAACCGTTCTCTTTCCCATCCGTCCACCGAAGAGAAATACAGGGGCATATTTCCCACTTAGGCCATCGTGTTCTAGAATCACCTCCATTCCCAGAATAGATATTCTCTACCAGTACATGATAACTTGAATCGAGTGGTCATATTATCATTACCATAACTGACCATTTGCCATTATTCGCGCCATTCCTCGGGTTGGCCGGCACAATAGTGGAGAACACTACCTGTAAGGGATATATCGCTGGGAAGCAAATAAGACTGCAATTTGTGCAGTAATCACTTTAGATTCAATAATAGCTTACGTCATTTTATATATTATACAGCTACAGCGCCATCCGGCAGAAATAGAATATACAGGGTTTACTTTTAAAACTTCTTAAATATGTCCAGCCAATGAAAGTCTTCTGCAGACTTACAGCAATACCTGTACTTTCAATACAGCAAAATGTGCTCTGAGTGGGGTATAATAGAGTTCTAGGTTGTCTCAAGGGCTATACAGGGTATAATAGTACTTTTGTTCAAGACAATCAGTATAAACCTATATCTAGTCCTAAGTGTACTTGACCTTTAGAGGGAAAACAGACAATCTTCGGAGAGGCTCAAATCCTGCTCGAATATATTACTTTCAGCGCTTTTCTTGTATATCTATCTATCTTAGCTATGGTTGGTTACTAGCCCGAGAATCCTACATAATACTCGCTAACACCTTAACTAAAGGCTTTTCTATATAGGGCCTTTCTTCTCCGCCCAGCAGGGTCAGCCATGAAGGCCCTAAATACACGGTATTTAGGCTCTGTTGCCGCCGAGAAGGAGTTTTTTTACTGTAGTCCAAGACTCAGGTCTCTCCTAGACATTTGCTATGCACTTCGAAAAGAAGGGTTAAAGAAGGATAACATTCTCGACCTTACCCACAATAAACTGTTAGATAACTGGGTCCAACAAATCTCAAATCATCTCACGAATAACAGCCTACTCCTATTATCGCTCCTTACTTGGCACTTTGACTCGTCCATAGACTTTTTTTTACCAATATCAACACCCTCCCGAGGGCTCCTGCAGTTCTTCGCGCAAGTTTCAGACGATCGCAAAGTATTCAACATTCTAAGGAAGCAGTACCGTAAGAGAGTAGGGGAGGAAATAAGACTAAGAGAATTCAAAGAAAAATTTATAGATCTATTAGATTTACTCAAATCTAAGTTTCGAAATAAATAGACTTTTATATAATGCTCCCTTGCAGAAGCATATATTTCTATCATTTATGAATTGTCTGTCTTCGGTTCTGTACACCAAATTTCTTATAGGACTATAAATAATATACTATTAAAAGATCATTAATTTCTTTCTTAACAGGCCGACCGCAATTGTACAGTATTATTGATCAATAAATAATATAGAAAGGAACTCTGCACAGGTATTGAGATTGTTTTGTGATAATAACTCATCACCCGTCACCAATTTATTTCTGGGGGTCAGCGGGGTCAAAACCGTAGGAGGAGCAGATTATACTGAAGTCTCATTACTCGGGAATTCCGTGCTTCCTCTATATTGAACTATGCAGAGTTTTCATCATTTGCAAGTTCTCCACGACAAGGAAATAGAAGCTAGGATTCGATATCTTATTCCCCACATAGAAAACTGGCTGAATGGAACACTGCCTTTACCCAGAAAAGAAGACATGAGACCCATTAGTATTGTTATAGCAGACACCAAGATTGATATCCCTTTGAGACCTATCCAAGACATGGTATATAAAGGTATAAGCTCTATAGCGGTTAACTATATATAGAAATCTATTAACTATATTCCCAGGTGGCAGAATTCACACTCTTGCGCACTTATAGCGACACCTTCACCCCGCAGAACTTTTCCAAGACTGTTTACACTGTCCTTCGGGTTGACGGTTCCGGCATAATTAGCCATATTAAGATAACTCTCGGCAAATCTATCTGGATCGATCGTTCTACTTCTATTTCTGCTGGTTTAATTCTTCTGATTAGCAAACCCGCAGAGATTATAGTTAGTCGGGATTTTTCGGAAGAGCAGATAACAAGCCAGACATCTATTGATTTAGCTAGATAGTACACACCTTCCAGGTCACAATTGTGATTATTAGTTATTATCTACAAGGCCAGTATAAGCGTCAAATAGCTCGTCGCTCCACGTCAAGGAGAATGGTTCCGTATCGATTATTATACTATCTACAACACCCGCATTTTGGCTATGTTCGTGATTGGGACCTCGGGGTTGGACATCGGAATAGACTATAGCTGAGTATTCCCGATAAGGAGACAGTAAATACTTGTACAGTTAAATAATCGGAGATGAAATGTACATTCGAGTATCTTAGAGAAGGATTTATTTAGCAAAATTTACTCCACCATAGAATAGCCTTACCAGCATATAAATTACTAGGACCTGGTGTCAGTAGCGAATTCGCAAGGTTCTGATCCCTTTTGTAATAGTCAATAATATATTGGATATCAAAGCATTCAGCGTCTTGTGATAGCTCTGTGGCGGGGATTTTACATCTAAAAGATTCTTGATAGCAGGAAAGAAACTTTTTGAAGTCTTTACACCTCGCAGACAGTGCGTTATGGGACTCATCTTCTCTAAAATATTGATACAAGAGAGTTGGGCAAGAAAACCCTCGAAGACATTTAGAACAAATATATCGAATAGCAGTCTTCTGTACAATTTGGTTTAAAGTATTATATCTTCTTTCCAAGTCAGTCATGTTTGATCCAGCGGAGATACCAGAAAATAGGGAGAAGGAATAAAACTAATAATAAGTTCGCGCAGAAGATATAAGACTTAAGCAGGGAGTTCTCCCGATCAGTCATTCGAGACAACATCTGCTGTAGGACCTCAATAGAATTCGTCGGTTTTCAGCCCCACCCGTGTCAGAATATATTATATAGTAAAGTAATAGAATCCTGCTTTACGACCCATAATACACCTATTATTACTGATCAATATACAGTAGACAAGCTCTTAGCTATAACTTTCTTGTATTATACTTGGTTTTGTCCTCTTATACACTCGGAAACCACGTTTCTTTCTCATCTAAGAGCGGTATTCGATAAGTGTTAAGCTTCGGTACAAATTCTCCTGGCCCCCCCTAAACTTAGTCTTTACATTTCCTTCATCTTCAAAAGAACTGCAGATCAAAATATAGTCGTACTACATTCTCGTAAGAATTCTCAGGGTATGGATTATAACCAATATAAGCAGATACATACCCAGCTAGGAGAGGGTCAATGTCTTTGAGCTCTGCAGATCTGAGCAGTCAGCACTTTGAAAGCAAAATATATATAAAACTTAATTAGATACTTACAGGGAAAATTTAGACTGCTTATTTCCGGTATTGTCTAGATCCTTAACGTAAAACTCTGCGATTTCCCCCTTTCTCATAGACGCGATATTATCCAGGAAAAAATCAAAGCCCTGTTATAAGATTGCCATTCTATATTCCCCCAAGCTATTCTTAATACCCACCACTGTGTACAGAACTGTAAATGTGTTTCCTGGTACAGGAAAGGTAAGGTGCGACTGCTACCTATATTCTTATTAGTATAATAAGGCTTCACGATACTTCCGATATATATATCAATAATTTGTCCAGCAGCCTTCAATTCCTTGAAAAAGAAATTTACTTTATTACCGAAGTTTGGGTTGGAGCCTTTTCCTTCTCGGTAAACAGTTTTTTCGAGGGAGCCCATAGTAATCAACAGTATACAGAATAACTTCCCAATATAACTGTAGATTGAAAGACAGAAACAAAAAAACCTACACATAGGACTATCCTCTACTTATACTTGGGCCTGTGTTTAGATTAGAGTCTATAGCCGTTCTAGATTCATAATATATCCCGGATAGTAGCCATGCAGTGTAACCATCGTTATTTATTGGCATAATATATATAGTCTTTACATAACTAGTCACTAAGACTAAGGACTCTAGAGTACTCATGGGTAAAGTGAATCAACTGACCAATCTCATAGAAACACATTTTTTGGTAATAGAGTTAGACGTAACAGGCAATCCCTTGCCCTTCGCTGCAGTGGTGCTACTATATATTCCTATCTACAGAAAGATAGAATGGCTAAGTGTATATTTTAAGTCCATATTACTTATAAACATACAACCTTTCGTCTGGTTTTAGATACTGAGATAACACTTCTCTCAATACACCCTGCTCCTTTCTATTAAAAAACAACAGCGAGCAGCCCATTATTTTCGTCTCCTCTTGGTACTTTACACCAAGCAACATAACAGGCCCTCGAGAAGAAGGATAAAAAATGCCTACATAGCTGAGTAATACGATTTAGCCCCTGGTCGAATCATCTATTATAGGAAACACACAGCATATCTGTTTCTATAATTTATCTTCAGATCAGTATATTTAAGCCAAGGTGTCCAGCAATAGCTACTTACCGGCTCGGGTAAATCTGGCTTCGGGAGAAAAATTGTTTGTCTACTATCACTGGAAGTCGAGGTGCATATAGTTCAGTCTATTAGGGCCTGGTCCTTGCCCAAGATTTCTGATATTGCCGCCATAGCCTCTTCTCCCGAGTCCGCGGGTGAAGATAATTTAATGCGCTGTATCTTGGGGGCCGAGGAGGGCTTGGACTGTTTTGGAAATAAACTATATTTCTGACTCTTCACTAGGGCCGGCAGGTTTGGCTGGTCTTTCTCATAGAATAATAGTATTGGAGTTTGATAGTCCGAAGAGCCACTCAGTGGTTTATTATAACTCGTAGCAGATTTGCTGTCATCCTGTTCGCCATTGTCCCAGTCCATCAAACCTACGGGGGAGCGTCGATCGGAGCAGAATCGCCTGAGGCACAGCGGGAGTATTGCATACAGAAACCAGAAGCAGGCCATAATTTTAACAAGCAAGACCAATAAGGCTGTAATTTGGAGAAAAGAGCGCCCGTACTGTCTGAGAATAATATCGATTTGTTCCCTGAAAGAAGATACAGTGAATAAACAAGACTTTTCTCAGTTTTATATCGCGGGATAGTAGTTTCCTCGCATATTAACGACCGCAGTGTCTGGTCATTGTGCATTCTCGGACTTTGCCGTTTCTTTTCCCCGCTTATCGTGATTTCTTCTCCTTCCTGAACAAGCAGTGATGGTGTGCTATCGGTAGAGAACTTAGATTAGCTATAGAGACACTAGTTCCAAACATAATTTGGAATTATAGGCCTGTAATATTGAAGCTGTGAACAGTAAGATTGTTTATTCTTGGGTAATCTAAAGGTATGCAGCTTCTCTATGACATCGTCCGGCTCACTGACCTGGGCGGTTGCTCAGCATATTGGACCATGTTTGCAGGTACAAAATCATATTAAAACAACCTACAGTAGTAACAGTGTATCTGATTGGGGGCATCATGAATGGACTTGGAAGGTTAAAAAGGTAGTTCAATCTAGACTAGGAGAGAGGGATAGGGAGAGATGGGGAGAGATGGGGAGAGATGGGGAGAGATGGGGAGAGATGGGGAGAGATGGGGAGAGATGGGGAGAGATGGGGAGAGATGGGGAG